GCTGCGCATGCTTTGACTGCTGCTGCAGCTGAGGCCTTGCTGTCATTCGTCTTTCTTGCTTTATTAGAATCTCCCATTTTGTATTTATTTTTATGCTAGGCCTACTAAGGAGATCCTCATAGTCTAGAATATGAGCTGATTCTCCTTGATCCTTGGTGATAGTGAATGATCTACACGCTTAATGTGTCAGCCATCACACTTGGCTATACGCTGTATTTTCTCTTCGCCGTTTTACAAGAAATGAAGTCTCCAATCATTGAAAGAAACAACGAAACAAATAGTTTTCGCAAATCCCTCTGAGATTAAATTCCCATGAGATTAAATCCCTATGAGATTTAATCCACATGATATTAAAAATTTATCAGATTACTTTTTTATTAACGTGAGAGAAAGCTTATCTCGCGTTATTACGTCATTAACAGTGTTCAACCCAATCACAGAGTTATGGAAGGGATCTTTGATGGAGTAATGTTATGCCCACGGGACAGATGCATTCGCCTGGGTATTGAAAGCCAGCAATTACTAGAAAAAACACAGCTATCAGCTTTCAGTCCTGTTCGTTACCACCACCTGGATCTGCAATTCTTACTTATTATAAAACGCAGATTGTGTGTGTGTGTGTGTGTGTGTGTGTGTGTGTGTGTGTGTGTGTGTGTGTGTGTGTGTGTGTACGTTTATATATTGGATCGGATTTCCTACATTTTTCAATCGATTTCAACAAAACTTCACAGGACTACGTAAAATTAACTTGCGGTGGTTCTGACAGAGCCAAAAATTGGAAAAGCACAATAGTTTTTGCACGAAATCAATTTGAAAACACGATAAAACACGATTCTGTAGCCAGAATGAAAGGGGGCAACTCATATCGAGCTATACTTATTATAAAACCCACGTTGTGTGTCTTCGTTTATATATGGGATCGGATTTCCTACATTTTTCAACCATTTTCAACAAAACTTCACTTTTTGGGGGCAGGTAGTGTTTCTTATTGTCTTGCACACTTTTTTCTTTATTTTTACATTCAGAATGCTTTAAAAACTCCATTTACAAGACAATTCTATTCAATAGGTAGACTCATAACGATTGAAAACAATGTTTTTGTTTGAGTTTGGGTTTGACCAATTCGTAAAAAAAAAACAAAAAAAAAACTAATTAAGACATGCGTGTCCGTCAACCTTAAACAATAATCTTTGTCAATTTTATTTTTCAGTCTTCATGATGGTCGATACTTGATCTATCTCTTACTGTTACATCCCCGGGCAACGCCGGGCTCTACTGTTAGTCTTCAATATTTATTGATTGATTGCTGAAAGACGGAACTAAAATCTTCGATATTACTTGTCCACTGTTTCCTTGGTTGGTCAGAGTTTATCCAAGCGGAAGAGGACTTCGATAGGGTGGCAAAAACCGCAAGATCGATTATTGTTTCGCTTACTAAACATATACTGCGTGTAACAGCAAAATTGTCCAAATCGTTTAACAGCAAAATTGTCAAAATCCTGTAACAGCAAATTTGTCCAATTGTTAGATTAAGTTCTGATCCGTTGTGTCTTAGAAATGATTAAAGATATCTTACTGGAATTCCCCGAGGTTTTTATAACACTACTGGACTGTGAGCAATAAATATGTATAATTACTCTTCAAGCTTATCAGAAGAATCATTATGAAATCGATCGTAAGCGAAAATGACATATTCATCATTATTTATTCAAAGCTAAGGATCAGGAGCTCATGAAGGACTGAAATAAAGCTCATATATATATATATATATATATATATATATATATATATATATATATATATATATATATATATATATATATATATATATATATATATATATATATGAACTTTATTTCAATCCTCATATATTATTATATATATAATTACAGGTTTATTTTCCAACATGTTTAAGATGGTCTTCGCCCTCTCTAACCTTATAACTTTCTGCCCTGGAGTAACAAGGGGCCCCAGAGTTTTCACGTATGATTTCAAAGAGGTAAACGTAAGCAGAAACAACAGTTTAACGCCGATTGGACTTGGCTTTTAGCATTATGGTATCTCACTGTCATCCGATGACAGTTTTGAGTGAACTTTTCTAATTAGTACGCTGCGCGCTTGGTAAGTTACGTCAGACTTAATGGCCGATCGCGGGAGCACAGTCTATACAGAAGACAGTTTTGAAGTAAAAGCCGCAAAGAGAAGACGCGTTCCGAAAACGTAGGTAACAAAAAAAAACATCATTTTGCAACATAACTTTCTGAGTTAGGATAGACTTTTCTAACATTCGATAGCTTTTCTTTTGTCAGAGAGAAGACATGTAACATATTTCTACGTTTTCTTTTTTCTATAAAATAAAACATTCATTTATGCTTCCTACTTTTCCCTAACGTCTTTATTATTTTAAATGTTTAAGTATCTGTACCTACGACTGATACTACTAAGTCTGCCCACATACCGGGTGTAACAGTAAAATAGTCCAAATCGTGTAACAGCAAAATTGTCCAAATCGTGTAACATCAAAATTGTCTATCTCACAAAATGTTTGACATCTAAATTAACACTAAAGTAATTGAGTTTTGTTTTTCCGGGTTTTCAGCTAAGACAGCTATCTTGACATCATTTTTCTTCACTGAAAACCCCTTTGATTTAATCAGCTTAAAAAGAGAACAGGTTAAAATCGTTTTGTTTCAGAACCACTGCCTTCCCAAATGAGCAATGGTGAGATGAAAAAGATTGTCCACACCTTCATTAATGGTACCAACATTCATACTCTGGCTTCCATCTTCAAAGTCCATTCAAGAACCATCAAGAAACCAGTGAATAAGTTTTAAAAATAATGAACAGTAGAGAAGAAAAATGGATGAGGTGGTCACTACAGAAAAAAGGATCATCATTTCAAGTTCGAGGTAAAGAGATCAGTTAAAAAAGATCCAACTCAATCCATACATTTGGGACGCAAGAGAGAAGTTTTAGCTATGACAGTCCAAAGAGCAGTGAAAAAAATGAAATCGTACTTGAAAACTCTGGGACACCTTGTTACTCCAGTAGAGAAAGTTATAAGATTAGAGAGGGCGATACCATCTTGAATAAGTTGGAAAATAACCCTGGAATAATATATATATATATATATATATATATATATATATATATATATATACATGAACTTTATTTCAATCCTTCATGAGCTCCCGATCCTTAGCTATGATTTGAAGGATGAAATATTTTAACTGTTAAATAAGAAAAAGAAACTAGAAAAAAAAATTCGGACAGCTTTTATATAATTTATCATCTGAAAAGAAACAATCTATTAGATCACATGAAAAATTTTATAAAAACTAAATCAAAGCACCTTATCTGTCATATTCAATGAAAAGAAGGATTGCAGCCAAAATACACACCCAATATATATATATATATATAAATATAAAAGTGAACTTAGAAGTCAACACTTAGAGGCGACAGTCTGTTTCATGCTATATGCAATCGTCAGGCCACGTGTGCTGTTATTTTTCTCGGATATTTATATATATACGGGTTAGTGGTGCATTTATTTATTCTATTATGGCGGTTTTTTTTTTCGCTTTGTTCATTTATTTGGGTCATTATATTTTTTTTATTTATTTTTTATTTATTTTTTTAAATAAAAATTTAAAACGAGCAAAATAAAATAAATAAATAAACAAACGACTTCCGGTAAAAAAATAACCGCTATAATAGAATACCCACAATGCACCACTAACCCGTATATATATAAATAGCCGAGAAAAATAACAGCACACGTGGCCTGATGATTGCATATAGCATGAAACAGTCTGTCGCCTCTAAGTGTTGACTTTATGTTCACTTTTATATTTACACACGCTCTATCTCTGATATTGAGCACTTTATCCCATAAATATAGCACACCTTATATATATATATATATATATATATATATATATATATATATATATATATGTGTGTGTGTGTGTGTGTGTGTGTGTGTGTGTGTGTGTGTGTGTGTGTGTGTGTGTAAGACCTTCGAGTATATATATAGCTTCATCTGGTATTTGTAACGTCTACCAATTTTAAATATAATGAAGAATTTTCTTAAGAAAAATGTATCAACCTCTAAGCAAGTTTTCTCCTAAAAACGTATTCACCACTAAACTGTTACTGATCGAAAATGTCTCTCTTTGAAATTTCAAAGACGTTGATGAGAGGCAAATTATTTTGTTCAGTTTCCTTTTTTTTTAAATTAATTGTTCATTAATAATAATTCAATGTGATTCTTTGAATATGTAAGTCTTTGTATATTGCCACTCCTTGAGATTTCGCAAAGCATTGGTTGTCACGTTTGTCTTGCAAACCTTTGCTTATGTGATCGTTTGTCAATGAATGCCCTTGAATTTGTCTTTCTATCAAATATGCTGTGGCTTGTGAATTAAAATGATTCAGCCTGAGAATAAATCTCTCTCTCTCTTTCTCTCTCTCTCTCTCTCTCTCTCTCTCTATATATATATATATATATATATATATATATATATAAGTGAACATTGAAATCAACACTCAGAGGCGACATTCTGTTTCAAGCTAGACGCAATCGTTAGGCCGATATTTAACAGTCCCCCCACGAGTAATGTATGTGGCACAAGGCCGGGTTTAACGTGGGTTTCTCCGATCCCGTAGGCTCGGTCAAAAATATTCCCTTTGAACCCGAATAAGAGGGTTCAGTATCTGTCTGCTTCCCCGGACGAACCTTTGCCCTTCGGCAAAGCTTCGTCCGGGTTCCTCTCTGCCAAAGCAGAGAGTTCGACAGAAGTCGCACACAGTCAGAGACTGCGGGTCGACTGCCTCAACGCAATCGTCAAGTCACAAGTGCTGTTTTTTCTTTCTCGGCTATTTATATATATGGGTCAGTGGTGCATTGTTGGTAGTCTATTTTGGCGGTTACCAGCATTAAATAACCCATTGAGGTTGATATGCCGTAAAAGAAACCAAACCAAATCAATATATACTGAAATAGATAGATAGATAGATAGATAGATAGATAGATAGATAGATAGATAGATAGATAAAAAATATTACCAGCAATAAAAATCTTGTCGGCATTAGATAATCCATTGAGGCTGATATTACGTAAAACAAACCAAATCAAATGAGTATATACTGAAATAGATAGATAGATAGATAGATAGATAGATAGATAGATAGATAGATAGATAGATAGATAGATACAGAATCATGCAAAAGTTTGCAGAATTCTGAAACACAAACAGATAAGAAACTAGAACACAGCAAATCAGGCAAAATGACTGAAGCTAAAATAGAAAAAAAATGGGTAAATCCATCATTCCATTTGCATACAAAGATTGAATAAAAGAAAGAAGGGAAAGTAATCACCTATGAAAGAAACTGAAATTTGAACTCGCAAGACTTTTAAAGTTGAGAAGGTCTCAATCATACCAGTTGTCATTGGTGTGCTTGGTACGGTGGCGTTATTTTTATTTTTATCATTATTTATTTATTTATCTATCTTCGCCTTCTTTTAGTCAAGTAGGTCATATTCTGTGATTTAACAATGAGGATTGGGTTATAGCAAATAACTATTGGTCAGGTCGTTTCTTTATTTCTAACACCAACAAAGGCTTACTCAGTATCCTGGCTGTCCCAAACATCTCTGTTCGAATCACAGTCCCAATTTTTTCCAAGCATTTTCGAAATTTTGTCCGTCGCTATTCCAAGGGCACTTGCATCAACGGGAACAATTTCTTCTTTCTTAAGCTCCCACAAGGTTGCTCTCTCACATTTTAACTACATACGATTCCTTTTTATTTTTTTTAAACATTTCACGACAAGCAAAGCGATAATGCCACTAAGATGAAAAGGTTTCGAGAGAATGAAAAGAGAATGAGAAGACTATAGTGAAAATATAATAAAAATGTAATAAAAGAAGTGTTCAGGGAGACGGAAGATGGCGATTGTCATTGCATTTAAATTTTTAAAAGTTGTAGACGCAAGAAATCGAAAGGGCTTTCCGGAGACAAGAAGTGCGAGAAAGCTAGCAACAGTAGAACGGTGAGGATCTTTTTGCTCAGCTAGTAGCACGCTTAAATTTGTGCAATCGTGGATTAATGAAGAAAATTTATGAGAATTTCCATGAAAATATTTGTAGAAAAGACCAAAGGAAGCCATGTCACCTCGGGAAGAAAGTAACTAAAGTCGAGATAATAGGAGTGGGGTCGATTATATTACAGATTCTAGTTTGAATTTTGTCAAAAATCTCAAGATATATAGCAGGGACACGTGACCAGATATGGCAGAAATATTCAGTTTCGGATAAATGGTATATTTATAAATGTACAATGATGGATTCTAACGATAAAAATTATTTCAAACAATACCGAATCGACTTTCCAAGAAACAGATCTAAAATTCTTTTTTTCTCATCATCTTTTTTCTTAATCTTCTTCTTCTTCTTCTTCTTATTATTATTATTATTAGTAGTAGTAGTAGTAGTAGTAGTAGTATTACTGTCCTAGGTATGAAGATAAACTACATCCGCGTCCTGGGTACGACGATAATTTACATCCAACATTGAGGCCTCTGATCAAGAAGTTTTGAGGGGCGTGGAACCACCCCTTAATTGTTGGTGTATCCAGGTCCACCCTGACACAGTGTGGTAGCACCTGTTAGGGTCCCAGCTAGTTAACCCCCAAACTGGAGTCAAAACACTATGAAAGTGTAAAAATAGGTTTTAATGCTAGCAATATATTTTTGTAAAAATATTACCAGCAATACATTTTTTAAGGAAAAAAAATATTGCCAGCAATGCATTTTTGGAAAAAATATTACCAGCAATAAAAATCTTGTAGGCATTAAATAACCCATTGTATGCCATAAAACGAAACAAACAAAACCAAACTAAATCTTATTATTATTATTATTATTATTATTATTATTACAGCAAACTCAGAAAGTCATATTGGTGAAACTAACATACCAGTAACTTCGGCCGTTGTGCGCTCCTGCCTTCTTCAGGATCTCTCTATATTTATGAGATGAGGTATTGTTGCTATTTCATCATTAACATAGTTCGGACTGTTGTCCTCATACGTATTGCCATGCTCAAGACGTTTCGGCTGTTGTACGCTCCGGCATTCTTCAGGTTCTGTCTATATTTCTGAGATGATGAATTGTAATTATTTAAACTATTTACATTGTTCGGACTGTTGTGCTCATCTTCGTTGCCATATTCACGATGTCTCGGCCGCTGTACGCTCGGGCCCTCTTCAGGATCTATCTATATTTCTGAGATGAGGTAATGTAAGTATTTACACTATTTACATTGTTCGGACTGTTGTCCTCATTTTCATTGCTTTATCCATGACGTCTCGGCCGTTGTACGCTCGGGCCTTCTTAAGATGATTTAAATATGGCAATAAATATGAAGTCAACAGACGTAACAATGTAAATAATTACAATAAGTCATCTCCGAAATATAGATACGTAATTTCATTATTGATGAAAAAAATTCTACACCAATAAATTTGCTAGATTCCCTTTTCCCTAATAAATGAAATGGTTGCATACGTTCAGCTTTAATATAGCTTTTTAAGAACGAACCTCAAATACCAACTTCGTTCGTGGGGATGTTGACTAATTCTGTTATTTTCTACTGTAAACGTTTTTGTAAATATAAAATCGATATAACTGGCAGCGATTAATTCAACAAGGACACGCAGATAGATAGATAGATAGATAGATAGATAGATAGATAGATAGATAGATAGATAGATATGAAGAGAACTGAGATAGATAGATAGATAGATAGATAGATAGATAGATAGATAGATAGATAGATAGATAGATAGATATGAAGAGAACTGAGATAGATAGACTGACGTAGATAGATAGACAGATAGATATTAATAGGTGACAAATAGATATGAACAT